ATTAATTTTGTCAATATATATTTTCATACTGACTGACTATTGACTATGGCCTAGTCACCCGTAACTTAGGGTAGGCTCCGACCCCTCGGTGGGGACGTATAGTGAGCTGATGATGATGGTGATGATATTTTCATATTTGTTTTTTTTTTTGTTGTTTTAATGAAATACTTTTTGACATAAATAGGAATTAAACAAAAAATTAAATTTAAAGGATTTTTTTTAATTTTAGTGTTAAACAATTCTTATATTATAAATCAACAACAACAACACAATTCACTTCCACAACATAAAGGGAAAACTTGAAATTACGGATTTGCATTTAGCGCGGGGCAGAAACTTCTGTCTAGTACCTTCTTCTCTCTCGTGCTTCTGTAAACTTATAAACTCTTTTACGATAAGTATAATATAATCTCATCTTATTGTTACGTACTACGAACTCCCGTAGCTCGTAAATTTACATATAGCTAGTTTATGTTGTCATCTGCTCCCTCGGGTTCTTGGTAAGTGGTCTATGATAGCGGACTTTCTTTTAAAGAATACTAGTTAAGCTGAATTTAGCTCTTCATATTGTTTTTACTTTATTACCATTGTTTATGGTAATTAATACCAATTCTGCTAAAGGAAAAAATATTCCCCATAAAATATTTTACACTCTTGAGACTTATTGGGGATGAGTTATAAAAGAACCTCTAATACTTAAATTACGTATTACGCTGTAACAGAACTAACTGTGTAAAATTTCAAGCCTATAGGCCCAGGTTTGGCTGCGTGTACCTTTATCAGTTTCTTCTTGCATACATTACTACTTATTACATTACGATGTATCGAACATTGTAGTCGAATTTGAGCTTTTACGCTACATAACCTAAATCATATTCCCCTTTATATAAAACTAGCTGTCGCCCGCGACTCTGTCCGCGCGGGATTAAAAATAGATGTTGGCCGATTCTCAGATCTACTCAATATGCTCACAAAATTTCATGACAATCGGTCAAACCGTTTCGGAGGAGTATGGGAACGAAAATTGTGACACGAAAATTTTATATATAAGATAAATCAAACATTATCATTTATAACCACAGAATTATATTTCAATTTCAAGTCACTACGGATATTAAAAAAACAATACTTACAAATTATATTTCACCATCGACCTTAGTTACGATGAATTTTGAGTTAAACTTAGTGATGCTCCAAAGTAATTACCCCCATATGACGCTAAGCCCCGCCCCCAACCGCGAACACCTTGGTTGTTTCATCGATACCTTCACACTTCCACGTATCCACATAAAACTTACACTGCAAATGTTATTTTAATAGTTTTGTAGCTTTGAATAACAATTATAAAAGTTGAATTTCTTTCGTGAAAGTGATTGATGGTGTTTGATTTAGAGTTTATATAATAAATGTTTAAACTACATTGGCTGTCTTCGTTTAATGCCACGGAATGTATTTGTGTACTGTTTATAAAATGCATTAAAATTATATTAAAATGGAGAGTCCCAGTGAACAGGAGAAAGCACGTGAGGAATTCGAAAATCAATTGAGATACGCTTTTATAAAATTTGATTATCCTGACGATGAAGAAGAACCTACAGAGGTAGGATTAGTTCTTTATAAATATTTGTAAAATAATACAAAATTGATCAATAATGATTCAACATATAATTAACAATTTTTGGCATACAAAGAAAAATTAAAGTTTAAATTTTAAGTCAGTGAATGAAACATTCTTTCCATGAATGTAGAGTAAAACAATATATCAGCTGAAGTATGCTGTTTAAAACTTGAAATCCAATTTGTATAAGACTGATTAAAATTATACATTATACATGTTAGTACAACAATAATTACAATAATTAATTAATACCCGTTGTTAAGTAAAAATACATCGGGTTTAGAAACATCTTACTTTAAATATGGAGAAAGGAATAACACATTAGTATTTATTTATTTTCCTTGAATGGTTTGGATGCTAGTGTGTGGATTGTTCACTGTTCAGTTTCGCTATTTTTAATAGTCACAACTAGCTACAGTTAGTTGTGACTATTAAAAATATATTAATTTATAATAATAAATATTTATAATAATAATAAAATATTAATTATAATTATAAATATTCAGTATCATGAAATAATTACTAAGGATGTTAATGTACATTTTGTATCAAAAATAAACTCAGATCATAGTGTCGATAACTGTAAAAATAGTCATAATAGCGAGTGTTCCAATTAGCATAATACTAGCAGTCGCCCGCAACTCCATCCGCGTGGATATATAAAAAACTTAATTGGTGTAGCCCACCCATCCATCCATCTACATCACGTCCACCTAAACATTCGCTTTTATATTATAATATTAGTAAGTTAAATAAAAAGCGGCTTTTCAAGGCATAAATTAAAAAAAATGAATAAATAGTATCCTATGTCCGTCTCCTGGCTCTAAGCTGCCTCCTCACTAATTTTCAGCCATATCGGTGAAGCCGTTTTTGAGTTATAAATAGTGTAACTAACACGACTTTCTTTTTATATATTTAGAAACAAGGATTTTTAGTAAAACAAAATTTTATCGAATTGATATTTTTTATCAGAACTAAACTATGTAAACTGTGGTGTATCGATAACATGGTGTATTCTAGTTTTCCGTATGAAATTCCATCATTGCTTATCACGCAACCTTAGGCAATCTTTTCGGGGTTTTGCAAATTATATACATTTTTTTTATGTAACAAAACGAAATCGAACACGCTGCGATATCGAATTGACACGACATAAAGCTCTAGTCAGTCAAATGATATTATAGTAACTTGACATGTTCGGGAAATGGTATCTGATAACTTGAGTGGTCCCTAGTCTTTGTGTTAGTGCGAGCTTACGGTGACGAAATGGTGGATCTTCTTGTTGTTCAGGTAAAACTTAAAAATTGTCTCGCTGACCTTCTTACCGGCAGACTAGTTGTAGGGGTTAAAAGAACACAAACGCAAAGCTTGGATGATATTCGTGAATAATATTGCCATAAATTGTACGTTACAATGTTGCTCGTAACGCAACGCAATGCAACGCTCGTAACTGGGAGCAGCAATGACGAGTCTTTTAGTAGATAATTGTTGCATTTGCCAAGACTTAACCCAAAAGTTGCCTCCTCTGCCCAAAGGTTCAGGCGTAAGAGGGCTAAAGATATAAATATATTTTAAATTTGTTCGATTAGTCTTTACTTTTATTCTTATATAATTGCAATATCAATCACCGGCGGTTTAAGGGTTAAAACACGTGTTTAAGTAAACGATGCATAACTCTATTTGTGGAGTAAATACGCATAGCTTACACGCGGATAAAGTCGTAGTCCACAACCAGTAATTAACATTTCGTCATCTTATTTCGAATGATCTTCCTATGATTTACTATCTTATATTATAATTATAGATATTTTATTTGAGTTCATATTATGATAACACACCTAAAGCACAATACTGCCACCCTAAATTACCTAATAATGCCTCCGAGCTATTTAAAGATTTACTGCAAGGAGGTACATTCTTACATTATCGACAGCGTTTTTTAAATCGACAATTAGAAATTATAATATAAGAATCGTATCAATGTTTCATTCAGGTCATGAGGTTAAATTCTATTATTCGAAAAATTTCACTTAGTTACCATAATTATATAAACATGCGATATATAAAAACCATATTATGTAACATATGTTTTGCTAACGCCCTTCAGATTAATCAGACTTTAAGTTGTATTTTTAATGTTTTCTCTGTTACTTAGGTGTTAATAAATTATGTCAACAAAACAGCAAAGTGGTTGCGTTTGGTGTGTAGTAAAAGTGAAAAACTTTTTTACGGTTTCGTGATAAACGTCACTCCATCTAGTGGGAACACGATAGATTTTATCTTTTGTCATGTGAGCATAACATTGGAACACTCTTCGTGCTGCGAAGCTTTTCTTTGAGTTTAGTCTTGCGATTTCTTTAGCACGCATTTGAGTGTATTGCCTATTTCTTCGTACAACGTATACAATCTGAATTTTATAGCATTTCCGATGAAAAATTGTATATTCATATATTCTAAGAATAAATCAGTGAATTAATTATAAGAACATGGATCTTACCGTCTTTGGAAGAGTTATCAATAATTTTGTAAGTAATATTGCATTTGATTTATTAATTTGCGTGTTCTTTTTCTTATGCAACGACGATGAATTTAAATAAAACATATACTTATCCGTCAATTACATAAACGATAACTTTAATTGAACTTCATAATTCAATTACCTTAAATATTATTAAATTTTACTAAGAAGTTTTTTTACGGAGCCGTTTATATAAAACTACAGACAATTGGAATTATTTTATTATTGAACTTTTCCTATTTTATGGATATTTTACGTGTTGTTAGGGAAAAATAATTTACTTTCTAATTCTAATTTAATTACCTAATCATTATATTCATTTTCTTTTTCCCAATTAAATTACAGTATTGTGGTAAAGATGGAAAAAACTTACCCCTATCAATCCTGCTTCTATTTTTTTACGTATGGGATAGTATCAGTTAAAGCTACAAACTAAACATTGTTTCATGTTTTATGCCACAGTAGAATAAATAACGACCATTTACTTTGTTCTTAATAAATATCTTCGGTACTATAATTGCGTATAGTGGACTAAAGTAAAAGCTTGCGTGTCGACTTTGTTATTAGTAATAGCAAGTGCGACTCCGTACCATCCCCTTCTATCTTAATGACACCTCCAATTTGTCCGCTTAATTTGCATATTACAATAATAGTTTCTCAGGAACCGTTGCCTTTAAGTCCTACGTTCAGTCGCTAACTAAGTTTGTCATCGACACATGATATGGAATTTGTGAATAACAAAAATGTTTGATTAAAATAAAAATAGTCAATATAATCAGTTTTAACATCAAGCAGTTGAATTTTATAAAATTAATTTGTTCTTTTGTTTATATTTTTTATGAATAATAAATATCTTTGTTAACAATGTTTGTATATAATATTAAACCTGGGTCCAGTGAGGAAGAAGAGGAAGAAGATGTTATGGATATTTTGCAGGTTTGCAAATTAGGAAGAGTTAAACAAAAGCAAACAAAGTTAATTTAACAATGTTTGTAATATACAAAAGAAATATTCTTATTTTAAAAAGCAAACTATTGTACAAAATATTTTTATACATAATATGTTACATTAATAATAATCTTGATCAAACGAACAAGTAATAAATAAAAAACAAACTAATATAAAAATAACTGAAGATAGTAAACAATTGACTTCCACTCTCGGTAAAACAACAACAAAACCATTTAATTTTATGTGGACTACCTAACCTGTTGATGTATTCCAGAAAAGACGAGAAGAATGCGAACGCAAAGCAAGGAGGGGGGAGATGGACCCCCGTTTGGAGTTTACATTCCAACTCCTTATCGACGGGACGGGACTGCCAAGACATGCTATCATGGATCATGTCTTTGAAGGAAACATGGTATGAGGCATAAAAATACATAAAAATGATCTACCGAAGCGAATACTTGTTTATGGAAAAGATATGTGCAAGTGTGTGAATTTAGCCACGTATGTGGAAAAAGCAGAGTGACGATTAAAAAGCAACATATTATTTACTGCTAGAATTATAAAGAGGATAGAATAGAAACCACTGAACATATTTGAAAATTCTTTCACAGTTGGGCTATAATTACTAGACTTTTGTTTAGTTCCGCGCAGAGTCGCGGGTTACTGCTATAATTGAATAAAAATAATCTGAATAAATATGTTGCAGTTAGACGATATCAACCAGCTTTTTCTCCCCCACATGAGGAACAAACTTCTTTGGTATTACCAAGATGTGGAAGAAGTAGAACAGCGACTGCCAGTGGAGGGAACAAAGCCTCGACAGCAAGGCCAGGCGAAACTACCGCCCCCACAAGTGACGCTCAAGAAGAAATTGTTCCTATCAGATGGTTGGGATGTGAAGTTCACTGGCATATGCATTTATATGTTCAGAATCAACGTCAGCAAACAGTTACCAGAAGAAGGCTTCCATAAAGACTTGTAAGTAAAAAGTTTAGATTTCGTAGCTGCATGAATTTTTATACAAATTCACATTATATTTTACCTCTAATTTTAAGGTTTTGTGGAATTTTAAACGCGGGCAAGGTGGGTTTGGTGACGGCGATAGAACGTGTCATGGAACACGTATACATGAACGCCCTGGCTCATCCGAGTAGCGATGGCGATGAAGATGAAACTAGATTTCCAATCGTGAAGAATCAATTACTGCCCGGACTCAGATCTTTTTGTAGCGCTTTAAAAGGTAAATCTAAAAAAATTGCAAGCTATTAAACGGCTATCATTTTAAACAAACTTGTAGCGATGTTTACAAAGTAATTTGCTGACTTTCATGACATTTGTCACTAATTTGGATCAATTACTGAGGATATAATTCTATCGCATTTAATTTAAATATAAAGAAGCGATACTCAGTTATGTGATCACAGTTTTTATTTTGAAAATTGAAATGAAAATTTGTCGTAATAATGCGAATGCAAATATATATTCATTTTATAATCTTTCATAGTATGTGAAGATGTTTGCAATCAAGTGAATTTATTTGACGATGGCAAAGCTGTAATGGCTAACTTACAAGATCATAATGAACTAAAAGAGATGACTAAAAACCCAAACACTATTACTATGCTAGAAGAAAGGGTGGATGAGTGGGTGAAAAAAATCATGGAGGTAAAATATAACATTTCTTGGTGCTTATGAAAACCTTGTTAGTGGATAGCGGTCTCAAGGTCACTCAAGATCAATTTGATAAATTTTCAAGAATTTTAATTTTAGAATACTAAATAATTCATTGCCATTTAAACCATTCTAAATTGTTAATCTTAACAATTCCATTTCACGTTAACATTTTATTTAAAATTATTTCTTCTTATAATTTTAACATGAAGATACTCAGCGAGAGCGAGCAACTGCGTCGCGAAGTAGATTCCAGCGGACCACAGGACGAGCTGGAATACTGGAAGAAAAGAGGAGCGCAATTCTCACAGCTGGTGTCGTACTTGCAGGTCAGTTGCAATGCATATATTTAAATTTAATTATATTAGCGTTTTCATCCGCATAATTTAACTTAAATTTAAGTGAAAATTTAATATTACTAATGCCAGTAGTTTGGGGTGTGTTGATTAACAGTAATCAGTTTTCACTTTTATGTTAATGTATATTTTCAGTTATATGTTCTAGAATAACGGTTATTATTGTGTTATAAATTAATTGATTTATTTATGGATAATATTTAGAACAATGTTTTATTTATAATCAAAATATTTCAATTCGAAACAACGACCTCTGTATTAAGGTGGCTACACCACGTAGCACCTCTACGCCGCGTAGAGCTCGGCGTTGTGTAAGCATCGTAGACTGTAGGAGATGTCGTTCAAATTGAACAATTGTTTAATTTCTACTATAAGTTATGTTATATTTGTTATTCAATTATTTTGATTTCAATTGTCTTATGATAATTATTTCCAAATAGGATAATGAAGTTCAACTTACCCTGACATGTTTACAACTGGCTAATTCAAGATCAATTAAACTTTGGCGCGATACTGATCATAAAATAACATTTTGTTACAATGAAGCAAAGGATAATGCAAAGTTTATTCAAGCCATGGAAAAATGTTGTCATTCCCTTTACCTGGACGATCCTGTTAAGATAAACGATTCAATACTCAGCCTGTTACAAACCGTTCGTTTGATACACAGCGTCTCACAATTTTACAACACCTCGGAAAGAATATCATCCTTAATGGTCAAAGTAAGTTATTTAAGTATATTTAAGAAATATTACTTTATTAAAAAGAAAAATTCGTTAGAAGTTATACTAAATAATTGGTTCTTCTATTGATTATTAAGTTATAGTTAAAAAAAACAAAAGATCTCCCCGGCGGGGAATCGAACCCCGGCCTCCCGCGTGACAGGCGGGGATACTAACCACTATACTACCGAGGATTGTGATTAAATAGTTATAAACCAGGTTCATATGAAATGAAAAATCGATAATTGTAAGGGAAGCCTTAGCGTTGCTTCTATTTTTCAAACATGCGAAACTATCTAGCGCGTCAGGATTTCCATACAATAGAATGAAGCTTACGTTAAATATAGAACAAGATTAATAATAATTAGGAAATAAACGTATTGTTTTGTTATCAATGTAGCTTTCATTTGATATTACCAATATTTGTTTGTTTAGGTTAGCGGTATAATTTTTTTAGATTCGATTTCAAATGTGTGCAATATTATTTCACAGATAACGAATCAAATGATTGAAACTTGTAAGCAGTACATCACAAGTCGTTTTAAAGAAACTATTTGGTCACAAGAACGCATGGTGGTACGCGAGAAACTCTTGCATTGTATAAACTTGAACAAAACTTATAGGGATACATATATTTACGTGAAGAATCAACCTTTTTTACCTAACGTTGAACAGTTTAGCTTCTCCGAAAACTATGTGTTTGGTAAATTTGATACTTTCTGCAAGAGATTGAATAAAATCATAGCAATGTTTGATATGATGGACGATTATAATAACTTATTTGAAAAAAGGATGGAGGGATTATTACTTGGTGAAGGTAAGGTAATGAAACTACCCAATTTTAGTAATTTAAGTGCATTTTAATCATGAAATCAGGATATGTATAATATTTCAAACAAATATTAACTCTTAATCACATTCGTAGATGAGGATTCTTGGTAGATATTTTCATGAAACAATATATTGTTCTTTAGGTTTATTCCATCTCATTTCATTAATCATCAAACCATATTTTAATACACTATTTCAACTTCAGATTTGGAAGATGCCATGCATGCTTTCCAAGAGGCTAAGAAAGCGGTCACCACGTGTCAGTATGATTATTTAGATTATAGGAATAATGAATTTGACAAGGACTATCAAACATTTGAAGCAAAAACTAACACACTTCGGGAATCAATTGGAAATACAATAGAAGTGAACTTCGCAAGTGTTTGGGAAACGCCACAAGGAATAAAATTTTTGACAAGATTTGAAAAGGTGAAAACAATTCTTTTAAAAATATAGATCAGTCGTGTACATGACTACTTTATGTAATACGTTTGTAAAATATTTTAACAATTTCCAGGTCAGTCAAAAAATTTTAATAACAAAATTAAAAGAAAAATACGACAGAGTTTTAAAATATTGCGAAAAGGAAGTCGACAAAATAATGAAAATGTTTAAACGTCAAAAAGATGATCCACCTTTACCAAGAAATTATTCACCAATAGCAGGTATGTGATATGTATTGCAGTAATTGTCATATTATTTATTATTAAAACATATTTTTTTAAGAACTTAATAATAATTAAATTTCCATAACTGTCTCCATAGTTGTCTCCCTTTAAGGCGAGCTACGACGAAATGCTTTTCTATGAAACTAAAGCTAAGTGTATAAAATGTAAATGACGTGTATCCGTTATCAATGTACTAAGGTCGCATAAAATGGGCGCGATGTTTAATGCACAACATGACAGAGACGGTGGAAAGCGTGTGCTCGCACCCCGTACTGCGCGCGCTGCCCGCCGCCGCCGATATGATGCGCAAGTATTCGGCTACGCGCACCCTCATTCACAACTACGAAGACACTATGCGCGCTGTATGGATGAATCAAAATGTAAGAAACGTTAGACAAAAAAAAAATTTTTAGAGATCTAAAATTTAATTTACTGCACAGCTTTCTTAAAACAAGTAATTAATTCACTTATAACCGTTAAATGACCACTAAGTATAAATTTCTCTTACTAAAACTACACAAAAAGAGACGACTTAAATAATGTAGGCAGAATGAAGGCAGCTAGAAAAGGACAGCAAATATAACTCTTGACATCTTTGATCGAACTGGGTGTAGCTTTCAAGGTTATACCAAAGTATTGATGAAATTTGCTTAGAGTTACCGGGAATTCATAAGCTGAAGAAGTAATACCATTATACGTCACGTATTACGTACGTACACTGTATTGATTTTAGCTGAAGGTTGGGTGGTTAGGTTGTAGGGTGGGTGGGGAGGAGCGGGTAGTCTGGCCGGTCTCAACACACTACGCTGTGACTATCGATGATAATATTATACCAACTATCGGTACTATTTGTGTACTAGGAATTTATGACCTGTTCAGAGCTTTATGGAGCTAAAGTTTAATGTCGCATAGTGCATCATCTGTAAACATAAATTTCAACGATTGATATACTTATTTTACATCAGACTTTCTAACAACGCTATTAATAAAACAAGATATAAAATTTAAAAAGTCGGTTGACTTCAAAGAAAGTGAAAGTTAAATTGTAATTTTAACATTAAAAGTATATTTAAATGTAAAAATTGGTAACATTTTTTTTAGTTATGCGATGTTGATGACAGTCTCAATAATACATTATTAAAAATTGACGAATCTGGTCGTGTAGCAGTCAATTTGGATCATACCATCAAACTATTGATAAGGGAATCAGACTGCCTTGTTAAAATGGACATCGACTTGCCCATCGTGTGTCACTCTCTGTATGCCAAAAAGAACTACTTTACAATCGTCAATGATTCACTGCAGGTTAGTTTCTAAGAAATACATTTACGACCGTTTATGTACATAAAACTTGTATTTAAATTATTCATGCTCATTCGCTACTTTTTAACTGTTAATCACATTTAATCGATCTAGAAATTATAATAGAAACGAAGCAAATCAAATAATATTTACACTCCGTTTTATTCAAAATAATTAAAATGAAAATAATAAATATAATAAAACAAGATAAATCCAAAATGTTGATTTGATTTTCCGTCAACAGTTTCTGCTGGAAGATTATCTCGCGACGCTGCGTCGTGTTAAGTTAGAAGTGAGACCACTCTTCTTACCTCAAGTGGTCCGACTTTCCTCTCTCTTGCTGCCCGGGTTGAAAACAGTAACGTGGACGAGTGAGGATTGGAAAGAGTTCATTGACCGCGCCAATTCGGCCATCAAAAGTTTCGATGTGTTGGTGACGAGGGTACATGACATATACTCAAATAGAATCATTTATGTGCTTGCTGGTATGCAGGAAGTTTCCTTAGTGAATTTACCAGGTAAGTGATTTTTAGTAGCGTTTATAATTTTGTTGTAAAAAAACAGATACAGTAATTTATAAAGTTTTTTTTTGCGTTCTTCTCAAGCTTTTATTTTTATAAAAGACTTAATATACCGGCAATGTTTAATTTTACTTAATTTATAATACTATTTATAATGGCTTTTTATAAAGCTGTTATTGTAAAAACTTTACATAATTTTTTGTAATATATTTATTACGTTTGCATCAATTTCTAATTAAATTTAGTTTTGAGTAAAAAATTAAAATAAATAGATAATATACAAGAACGAACGAAACAAAGTATCGAAAAACGCAATTTCGCACCGCGATTTAGCATTTCCGCCGCTCGTGTACTAGGCTAACATGACTTTGAGGATGATGCATTGATAGTGTTGTCGTAAAACTAGATATGTATTTTGAATATATTGTATGAATGAGTGGATTGAGTTGTCTTGAAGTAATACTGAGGAAGATCCTGCATTAAAAATGTATAACCTAATCTGTTATTTGATCAGGACGAGGAAAAGGGGATAAGGGATGATGGCAATATGAAAATTTATTTATGATATGCTTGCATATTCGATGTTTAGTTCGATATAAGTCGAAGAAAAAGAACAATTCGCGGTCAACGATGAGAAAATTAAACTCTCGTGTATTTTGATCGTTCTAAACATAATAGTTTTAACGGTGTAACTTTTGCTTGGTAAACTAGTTTTCTTTTAAATTGACGTAACTCTACGAATATCGTTCGTGACTAGCCCCGCCCCGGGCGTGGTCTTTCAAACATGCCAATTGGTAGAATCTCGTAATTTTCACGAGGGAAAAGAGACAGAGTTATTCTGAAGAAATACATTGAAGCTATGGTACAGGCGAGGTTGTATTTTAGCAGGCCTTTGGATTGAGCAATATACTGATATCCTTTTCAGACTCACCGTTTTTGGTAATCAATCATTATATTTTCGTAGGAATGAAAGGGACGCAGATAGTAGACTACCTGTAATCTCTGATACCTTAGTACTTGTTATCGGATTTCAGGTTTCTCTATCGATTGAAATTTTGTTCAGGGCTTGTGAAGCCAACTTTCGGTGCACTTAATATAGTATCATAATAATATCATAAATGCGAATGTTCAGAACGGGACAATGGATCTCGATTGGCATAGAAGATAGTACATAGTCTGGAAGAACACCCAGGCTTCTAAGTTTTTGTTTAATTTCGTTCGGATGGAGCGGACAAACGACATCAGCTAGTTATTATTTGTAAACAACGTGAAAGTTTAAACCGTATGAGTACAAAAACAGCAGGACATTGTCTGTTTGGAAAGTTTTTGTGAAAGTCATCTGAAAGCGTTCGATTCGAAGAAGTCTGCTGCTACGTAATGTTTCACTGTAGGTTTGGTCGTCGGTCTGTGTTAGCTTATAAAAACATATTTGATTGGCATACTGTTTAAGTACACGAATGTAACTTAATATGTTATTGTTAATAATATGCCAATTCAAAAATACATAGTATTCCCAAATAAAATAGTAAAGTAGGGAAAAAAGTTGCGAAACGAAATAAAAATCAAAGAATGAAGGGATAAGACAATATTTGTTGCTAAAGTTAATAGTGCGAGTAGCAAGGGCAGAAGATAGGCTTAGCAATAAATGTGACAAGATTTTCAATTTAGAAAATTATATAAAAACTTTTCAAAGTGAATATGAGAGATACAATGTGCTTCTGTACAGGTTTATCAGATATGTAAACTGAAGCTTGGTCATTTTCAGTGTACACAATAAACCTTCTCGACATCTATGAGGGCCTAGTAATCTTTCAGGATTTACCCACGTGGTCATCCTGAAAAACGCATGCGCTCTTTAACAGCTATAGGCTGCTTTTATATCGTAATTATAACCTTTACTATGAAGGTAATAAGGCCTATATAAAATCAGTGAAACAACCTACTATCATTTTTGGATAATGATGATTGTGGAAGGATGTCTACGTGATATTATTATTAATAAACAAATAAGTTGTTCGTAGTAACCAACAATCTTTAGTCTTAAATTTCAATTTCAGTCAAATTCACCAGCTGCAAATATTAAAATTATATCATCTTATACCCTAAATTCAAATGCATTTGTTTCCGAAATAGGAGTTCGTACAATCTATCAAGTTTATATTATACAGAATGTTCCTTAAATAACCGAACTAAAGCGATGTTTCGAGATTTTTGATAGTTCTGGTTTGCATTTCGTGTAAAAAATAGGCTTTACGAGAAACGACAGAATGTTTCCATACAAGTTTTTCAGAAGTCAATACTCGTGGTTAGCCATATTTAATGTATAAAAATCTTCTCAACATCACTGAGGTCCTAGTATTCTTTCAGGAATTACCACGTGGTCATCCTGAAAAACGCATGCGTACTTCGGTTCGACACCCAAAGTCAGCTTTGAATACAAAAGAAACAACCATTTCTACACCCATGAGGCTCTAGTACTCTTTCAGGATTCACCACGTGGTCATCCTGAAACCCGCATGCGCACTTCAACTTTGAATACCGTAATTGTGTGGCCTTTACTGTGAAAGTAATAAGAGATACTTAAGGCGTACGTAAAATGAGAAATCGTTGCGGTAAAACCTACAAAAACTTTATGTTGACCTAGTACCCTGGGGGTAAAATATTCTTAAAGCTTCCGCATGCGGAAAAGCTCCGTCATCGCTTTCGAAATAAAATACCTTATTAGTAAGAATCTTAATAAATAAGTATTATATGATTTTTTTTAAGCAAAAAATGTCAGTCATTAAAGTTATATTTTCATATAGTAATAATTAACGGTGAAAGTCAACATATTATATGAAACAATAACTTTGAAAAAAAAAATAATTAATTATGATTACAACTTCGACAGCGCGTAATAAAAAGTAGCCTATGATACTCCGATAAGTAAACTATAATACTTTCCAGTAAAATTTAAATCAATATCTGTCCAACCGTTCTACAAATCGTAGCTTTAGAGACTGACAGACAGTTCGAATTTTTTTTAAATTAAATTTTCGATGTAAGGAACGCATTTGATTTTCCCTAAAAATTAATATACCAGTTTAAACGGGGCAATAGTTTGTTACATTCAGGTTCATACTATAACCGATCGATAGCGTAATTTCGTCTGTGTGGTGTAGTTATAATAGCATCGGAGGGGAAAAAATGTACTGCAACATCCGTTCATGTACATATAAGCAATTAAGTGAAAGCTCACGGTGATCCATGTTAAACGTACAAAATACCTTCACGATACCTATGTGGTCCTAGTAATCTTTCAGGATTTACCACGTGGTCACCCTGAAAAAGGCATGCGCACTTCAAGACAGAAAGGTAGCTTCACTTTAAATAGCGTAATTATTCATATATTTTGTGACAGAACTATCAGAAGATAGCATTGCCTGTCTCACCGAGTAAGATATCCTTTTCAGATTATACAGTAACAAATAATACAGTGGGTTTTCATTGCAGAAATACATGTAAAACTTATTATCTTACTATTTTATTATATGACATTATAATATAGATTAAGACACAGTCTGAAAGATCACATAGGGTAACTATAATTTGACAAATGTGTACGGTTCTCGTGGGATACATTTGATTCAATATTTACTTGATAACTGCTACGGTTCAACACATCTTATTGAAATCGGCATAGACCGTAGTTTCGAATAAGATAATTATACTCTTTTACTAATTGTGACAAGAGGAAATCGCGAGCAAAAGCTTCGACCAAAGACGATATAAGAAATGTTAATGTGTTTCTGTACACGTTTATCAGAAGTATAAACTGAAGGTCAGACATATTCAAAGTATAAAAACCTTCTCGCCATGTATGATGGCGCCATGGATGCCTAGTAACCGTACTTCAGCCTGCTTCAACTTCGTGCTATAGGTGTAACTCGTGAAGTTAAAAGCTACTAACATTTTCTGTTGACCTAGTACAGCTGAAGGTAAAATATTCTTAAAGCTTCCGCACGTATGAAAGCTTCGCCGTCACCACTTTTGATTATTTAATTATTCGTTCGTTTGTTTATCAAAATATAAAATTAATATTAACTAAATTTATTACTTAATTAAAAATTATATTAATTATATTATTATTAACTCATTTGGATTCAGCGGTCAAATTTCAGACAAATTATAGAATTTAAGTAAAAAGAATAGTATTTTTATTTTATAAATAGCTGTCACCCGTAATTCCTATTAAAAACCTTAACAGAAACACATGTGGTCTTCCAGGCTATGTTTTACGAATGCGAAATATCAGCGAGATCCATAAGGCCCGTCTGTAGAAACCTTTCTAACATAAATCCATCAATGCATACATCCATCCTCGATACATTCAAACATTTGCATCAACGATAATAGTAATATTTACAAATAAGTAGTTCGTAATGAATAACAATCTTTGGTCTTAAATTTAAATTTTAGTCAAATTAACTGTTGAAACAATCACAATATTTGACGGCATTTCCGCTAACTTCAAATGTATTTGTTCCCATAACAGGTTCGTATTATCCTTTCAAGTTTATATGAGACAGAATATTTCGTTAGAGACCGATCGAACGCGATGTTCCGCGACTTTAACTAGTTCTAATTTTTTTGCATTTCTAGTAAAAATTATATTTCACGAGACCTGATTGTTACAGTGACTCTGTACAAGTTATTTAGAAGTAAAAACTCGTGGTTAAGCATCTTCAATGTACAAAAGCTTTCTGGGCATGCATGAAGTCCTAGTAATCTTTCAGGATTCACCACGTGGTTGTCCTGAAAAACGCATGCGTACTTCAACACCCAATGTCAACTTCTAATACCGTAATTATAACCTTTACTGTGAAGATAATAAGGTCTATATAAAATTCAATTATGGCTACTATTTTTTTCGGATAATCACGATTCGATTAAATTTCAATTTCAGTCAAATTCACCACTAGCTGCAAATATTAATACTATTTGATGTCATTTTTCCC